AAGTTGACTGGAACAAAGGGATCAATGCTAGTGGGGATCGCTGGTGTTTTTGGCTTTGGAGCAAAATTCTTGATTGCGTCAGCAGTGTTCTTCAAGATTTCTTTGTTTTGTTCCCAAAGTTTAACAATGGCGGGGTCAGTAGTTTGGGTTCCAGTCGTAGTTTGAGGCTTCGTGGTGGTATTGAGAGGTGGAACAGGGATGTCACTGAAGAGTGCAAAGTTGTAGACATCTTTTGTTTTCATTCTGTCATCAATGTAGAAGGGTGACCAGTTAATGTTAAAGACGAGTGTGTTGCTCTGTTTGGTTTTGGATACAAAGTTTAGAGCTCTGTCAAGGTTGGTGTTGTTAGGTTCCAAAAGTTGGGCGCGTTTGTTCTTTGCAATTTCAACAAGGAGTGTTGTCTTTGTTTGCATTAGTGTTTTGATATGAGTTTTATCTGTATTGTTGAATGCATTGGCTTGGACATGGTCAATGATATTTTCTTTCACAGCTGGGATGAATTTGGCGACATCTTCGAAAGCATCTTGATTGTCATTGAGGTAGTCAACAAAGTCGTTTGTGAAACTGTATGCTGTGTTCATTGGTTCTGTGAGTTCAGGATAGTTCTAATGCTGAAGGAAGACAGCGTGGATGTAGTCGATGTTAGGGTAGAAGGAGCGCTTTGCGCTTTTCACGCTTCTAGTGTTAGTCATGGTGGAGGTTGAAGGTTGAGATGATGTTGGAAGTATAAAATATATTTTGATTTGAATCAGAAGAAATATATTTTTGGGAAGTGTTGCAAGGCAATTTGAAGCACAAGGTTATCGTAAAAAAAAAACCAGTTTTTGTGAGAAGCTTGAATTTTGTTTTTTGTTGAAATTTTGTGGCAACGCAGATTGGACGTGTAACGTGAGGTGGTTGCGCGTAACGTGAGATGGTCACGCTGTGGGAATGAGAAATTTATTAGTACGTGCGTAGTATGCACACGGGATTTATTTTAATTTGTTGTGGGAATTAAAAAATGGAAGCAGGTTTGTTGGCACCAAATGGGTTTTGAAAAGGAAAAAAGTGTTGAAAGATTTCAAAATTTTTGAGATCGAGAAAACGTTGTGAGCACCAGCGACAATGGCGATCGTTTCAAAATTGTTACTTGGTAATGATTATTGTTGTAACTGTGTAATGGTTACTTCAAAGACGATGGCGGCAACAAGGCGTATGTGTTGTCCAAACCGATGACAACGACAATTGTTCAAAGGTGTGTGTCGATGCAGAGCCAGTAGAGTTCGTATTGAGGAGAGATCACGCCTAAAAAATTATCACCATGGTGGTGATGAATTTTATTGGAAGGGTGTCATAACCTGTGGGAGTGACTGTCCTAAAAGTGATGTAAAGTGTGTGCTAATAGAAAAGTGAGTCGATGCCCTTATCGAGAATCGACAAACTATTTAATCTAAAATGGATCACTGTGAGGATCAAGTTATGTGTGAATGGAATGAGTCGAGTCACTCATGAAAGTGAATGAAATGAGTCATGTCGATCATATGAATCCAGTGAGATCACATGAGTCATATATGTATGGTGTGTATGAATTGCAGATACTTATAGTATGTATGTGTCGTATGTATGAATCATACCCATCGTCTGATATCCTACAGACAACAAGGGCTAGAGCTACTACTAGAGCTAAAGCTAGGGCTAGAGCTAGAGCTGGGAGTGCAACTATGTGAAAAAAGATTTAGCTTGAGAAAATGTACTGCGGCACGAGAAATTATAACCGCAGAAACGGTTACTGGATAAACAGTTAAGTTTAACGCATTTTAGAATTTTATGTTTTTGGGGGTATAGTCTTGTGCACTTTAGGGGGAGGGCTATCAAAAAATTAATTAACTTTTGTAATTGGGTTAATTAACTTAATTACTTGAGTTATTAACTTTTTTTATCTGAGTTAATTAACTCAATTACTCGAGTAATTAACTCAAGTAATTAATTTGATAAATAACGCGTACTGTATAGTCACTACTCTAGTAGTAGAAGAAGAAGTGACACTCGTTGAGTTAATTAACTTAATTACTCAAGTTAATTAACTTAGTAATTACTCAGGTTAATTAACTTAATTACTCAAGTTAATTACTCTGCTCGATTCAATTAATTAACTTTATTTTTGTATGTTCCCCCAAATTGATATTTGACAAAGCCCCAAAAAGGAGAACCGATTCAACTAATAATTTAACGGTTATTCTAAATTTACCGTTATACTAAGGCATAGATGTCGCGTGGTATTAAAAAACGCGCGATTGGGGGCTCTCCAGTAGTAGATCTAGTACTGAAAGTACAACAACTACTAGTATTACTTTTTCTGGTACTACTTCTGTTTTTCACACCATAGTACTAGTAGTGCTACTAATACTTCAATTGATAAGCTTATAGCTAGAGTAGCACTGGAGTTAGTGTGGCTACTAGTTGTTTAGTAGATAAAGCTACTACACTATAGCTAGCACAACTGCTCAAGCTACAGCTAGCATCACTACATCACAAAAAGTGTTCGCGACCCCTCACATCCCATAGCATCCCTTTTTTTTATTCCCCACCCCTTTTTTTATGTCACATTGGTCGCGTTTTCTCCAACTGAAATCATGGCACCTCGTGAACCCATTTTTGTGGGATGATACAGGTGGCCATAGGTTGTGACAGTGTTTAACCGTTGTGATATCCAAGTAGTTTGCATTACCAGACAACAAATCACTCCAACTTTTTGCACTTATTTTTCATCTGTTGCACCATCCAAGCAGAAAATCGTGAACACCCTGTACCACAACTATTCGTTTTTTCTGAATTGTCGGATACAGAAATGGAAACCAAAATCCGAACCACAACCAAAACCAGTAACAACAACCTGAATCACGATCCTCCTGATTGTTATTCTTTGCATGTATATCCCTATAAATTAAGATACATATTATATATGTCTCTCCACAGTGGGAGATGGTGGTTTTAACTTGTAATTGTTGGTGCAATGATAGGCGTTGGCAGAGGATTTTCTACCGGCCCTCCTGGGAGACTCAGTCAAGACTACCACTGCATTACGCCACCTATTGGCATTTCCAGTTCGATTTGCAGGCATTGGAGTACCGGACCCACAGACAGAGGCCAAGGCTCACTTCGACATGTCCCGTGGTGCAACCACAGTTCTGATTTCCTCCCTTCTGAATTCTGAACCCCTGAGACCTACAGCAATAATGTGAAGAGCACCTTGAAGGCCCGGCGCGAGGAGCGACAGGGCGCCCTCCAACTCTCCCCAAACCGACTGATCAGCGGCGCATCACCAGGGGTCAGTCCGCTGGTGCCTGGCTGACAGCTACACCCCATATTTTAAATGGGACTGTCCTGACCGCTGAAGAATTTTGTGACAATCTCAGACTAAGATTTGGCCTGCACGGCTGTAGTGCTGAATTTACCGTGGAACACGCCATGACCTGCCCCAAGGGCGGATTCATTGTGCAACGACACAATGATATTGCGGGGGGATGGCATCAACTGTGTGCGGAGGCCTGGACTCCAAGCTGTGTAACTGATGAACCAAGAATACCCAACTATCAGCCCACAACTCAGAAGAAGAAGAGCCAACGCAACACAAAACCCCCTGAGAAAGACCTCAGAGGAGATCTTTCCGTATACAACTTCTGGAAGCGAGGCACATCCGCAGTGTTTGATGTCAGAATTGTGGATACCGATGCTGAGTCCTATGAAAAGACTGCTCCCTGGCTGGTGCTAAAGCAGCTTGAAAGAAAGAAGAAGAAAAAGTACTTGAATTGGTGCCATGCAGCACATTGCCACTTCACTCCCTTGGTCTACTCCATTGATGGCATGGAAGGCAAAGAAGCAATTGCAGCACGCAAGCAGCTTGGTGCCAAACTTGCTGCCAACTGGCAGAGACAGTACTCTCAGGTATGCAGCCTTGTTAAATCAAGAATTGGATTTGCTTTAGCAAGAGCAGCCAGCAGATGCCTGAGGGGCACTTGCGACGCCAGACTGAAATTCAATCAGCCCTTGGATTGGATTTCTTATTCTGGTGTTCGAGTGTATGCATACTAGCACAGTCGGATTCCATCTTGTCTAGTTTTTTGTTAGGGATTCCAGTGTGGTTTCCCACTGAGATATAGTGCTCGGAAACGTTGGAGCAAGCTCTGATGCTCTGTTGAGCCCGGAAACCAGAAATACCGGAAATACCAAAATTTCGATTCAAAAGCATCGAAATCGTGTTCGATGCAGTGAAATCGATCGATCATAGTCAGATTTCACACTTTCGTGTATATAACACGGGATTTCAGTGTGATTTCTTGTTGCCCAATCAATCGTGTGATCATATGATATGATTTTAACTCGTAGTAGAACACTTTGGTGTGACGTAATACATAGTAACGGAGCTGGGAGTACTAGTACAACTAGTAGTAGTACTATGTGAAAAAAAGAATTAGCTTGAGAAAATGAAGAAGTAATAGTTAACCAGCACTAGTAGATCTAGTACTGAAGGTACAACAATTCCTAGTAGAGTGTTGTAAAATTATTGTGTGTAGTATCATAAAATCATTGTGTGTCGTATCATAAAATTATCATCATGTGTCGTAAAATTTGTCTCTTCTCACTTCACAGTTTTTATAGATAGGTACTATACATACATATGGAAAATAGGTAGAACGTACAGTAGAAACAAGGTCTGGTTCGACTTCCACTTGCAGCGTACGGCAAAAGACCTACTGTAATTTTTAGTGAGAGAGCATAGCGTACGAGTACGAGATTTCTGCTTTCTACTTGGCTCTCAAGCGCCAACATAACATGAGGTCATTGTTCTTTTTGTTCCCAACGCATGACCGACGAGCGCGTGCTACCGGTAAAACGACTTCTACGGTACGGTAGATCATCATCTTCGATTTTGCGTTCTTGTACTTCGCAACGAGCAATTTTTTCTGTTTTGCGACTCTGTTAAACAGAACTCATAGGACCTCCCCCACCGAATGCTCCACCTTCCATTGGTGCCGACTGTTTGCTAGCCCAACAGCCACTACGCCCCACATAGCGATCCATCGAGGCCGATCCATCCACCCATCCATCAATGAATAGCGCAATAGTGAGCCAAACAACAGCAAAAATGGCGGATGCCAAACGAAGCTACCCGACGACTCCACGAAACGGCCGCCACCATAGCATCGACCCCCCGGACTACTACGATTCCCCGAGCATGCGTTCGCAGAGGAGGGGGAGATCATCGCAATCGTCCTCCCAGAGTTTCATTCTAAAGGCGTTTCTGGGGTGCATCATTCTCTGCATCTCCACCACATCCTTTCTCCATTTCCATGAACAGGCATCTGAGAGGGGAGATCTGCGTATCCATCGGGGACTGGATCGGTACGTCATGGATATGCCCGACGAATCATTGGAAGATATGATGTCGGCTCGTAAATTGCAAAGACCAAGACCGAAAGCAGGAAAGCCGCAACGCAAGATCATCAAACTTGGAACCGACGACGATGACGATACCGCCAACACCAACGCCAACAAACAAGGAACCGATGACGATGACGATACCGCCAACACCAACGCCAACAAACAAGGAACCGATGACGATCCTTCAAATGCCATTGAACCAAAAACTGATGATGATCCTGAAACTGCAATTCGACCAAAAATGGATGACGATGCCACAAATGCCATTGAACCAAAAACCGATGATGATCCTGAAACTGCAATTCGACCAAAAATGGATGACGATGCCACAAATGCCATTGAACCAAAAACCGATGATGATCCTGAAACTGCGATTCGATCAAAAATGGATGACGATGCCACAAATGCCATTGAACCAAAAACCGATGATGATCCTGAAACTGCGATTCGACCAAAAATGGATGACGATGCCACAAATGCCATAGAACCAAAAACTGATGATGATCCTGAAACTGCGATTCGACCAAAAATGGATGACGATGCCACAAATGCCATAGAACCAAAAACCAATGACGATCCTGAAACTACGATTCGACCAAAAATGGTTACAAAAACCGATGATGATCCTGAAACTGCGATTCGATCAAAAATGGATGACGATGCCACAAATGCCATAGAACCAAAAACCGATGATGATCCTGAAACTGCCATTCAACCAGCATCAGCCAAGAAAAAACCTTTGATGGATGACGACAATTACGAAGACGACAATGTAGCAAATACAGAGAAGGAGGGGGCGGGTACCTATCCGCCTACCAAAATCGGCAAGGCCCCCAAACCCCTGATCCCTCCGACTCCCAAACCCGTGATCATCAAGAGCAGCAAAACCCTGAAAAAATCGGGCATCGAAAAAACTCCCAAAAAAACTGTGAAGCTGGTTTACGCCACCGCGAAGCCCAAACCTACAGCGGAGCCCACGATCGCTCCCACGACCGGGGCCACGACGTGGACCACGGATGCTCCCACCGTCAACCAGCGACCCATTCGAAAGGCGGCGTGCCTAGCCGAAAAGATGAATGACATGGCGACCATGGACCCCGAGCGTATCCAAAAGAAGGCCGTACGGGCGCAGAGAGTGCGGGTCCAGCGGGCCGAGGAAATGAAGCAAAAAGAATCTTCGGAAGAGAAGGAAGACGAGTCGGTCCTGATCATTGCCTCCGTCCCGGTTGATGAGCGACACGTCATTTCCCTTTGGAGCTTGCTAGAGTGTTTTTCGGCCTCCTACAATCACGTCATTATTTCCACCGCATATTGGGCCAAAGAATCAATGCAGAGAATCATCCAGGAAGCCAAGAGCCAGATTCCGCATTTTCAAAATGGCTCTGTGACCATCGAATTCAATTCCTTCGACAACAAAAAATACGATGCCGGCCTCTGGTGCGACGTACTCATGGGCGCCAAGGGACGATACAAGTCGTATGGCCTGCTGAACGACAGCATTTTCGCCATCCGAGACTTCGCTGGCATGACCGAACCGCTCGGCAAGAAAAAAGAACCGCAGAACGAAGAAGCCGTGAGGATGACCTCGCTGAATTGGCACGAAAAGGGCAAGGAACGAGGACGCTGGTTCGAGTCGGTGTATCGGGGCTTTGACGAAAAAGGCCTCGAGATATACATGGAGCATTCGTGCCTCCCCGACGATTCCCCGGCCTTTTGCCCCAAGGAACTCAACAAGGCCCGAAAGAAACGTTGTATCACAAACTATTTCGAGCTGGGAATGTCGTGGGAATTTCCAAACATCGAGCAGCAAATCCAGGGCATCTTTCCCGGAACGGTCTCGGAGGAATTCCGAGCGACGATCAACAAGTTCCCCACCTGGGTCTGCAACCGGGAGTTCTGGATGGACGTTCTTCTGCCGATGGGCTTTCCGGCCGCGAAGGTCAACTGCGAGACGATGATCGGCAAGGACCTCCGGGTCGAACCGATCCTGGACACGTGTCAGGCATTCCTGGACGAGAGATTCCTCTGCGACCTGGATTTTTCCAACGCCGTTCGGCTGATCCAATACCCTGAGATGAACCTCAAGGAGAAGGAGAAGAAGGCGATGATCAAGGGAGACGCCAACGCCAAGGTTTCAAACCTGTAACGAATCCCAGTGGGCAGCCACCCAACCGAACAAAGCACGCACGCGCAACGTTACAATGATTTTGGGTTCCAATGCTCTTGCGGGGCAACCCTTTGTTCGCAAGGAAGGAGCGGTGGCGTGTGCGCAGCTCCCAAACGACGAACGGCAAGCCGAACCGAAAACCTCAGAACGAAGGAGATATAAAACAAGCTAGTGGGAAGCGACGGAACCTTCTGCGGAGCAGAACCGTGATCGATCGTCACGGATCCCGTGTCGGTATCCGACTTAATCGTTTGGATTCGTAAGGACCATAAATGATAAAAAATAGTCATGTATTCATAATTTCTCGCATACCTGAGTTTTTTGGTGTGGAATGATACTATTACACTACATTATGTTCATGTTAGAGGTCGGTGCACCTGGAACTATGATTTCAGTTTCGAGGGTTCGTTTCTGATCATGGTGCTTAGTGGTATGGGTGTGAGGAGATGTGAGTACGTACTCTCTTCCCTTGTGCTTCTAACACGATCAAAGAATAGATTGATCTTTCTACGGCATTGCGAACAACTGATTGCTGCGTTGCTATCGAATCAAATGCAAAGAATGATGTCTTATCTCTCAAACACAGCCATTTTATGATGGCGTGGCAAATGCCGCATCCACAAGTGCAAAGTGCAATCATGTTTTTGTTCTCGTCGCTCGCCGCGTTCGTAATGCTGCAGCTATCACCACACTCTTATTGTCTAATCATCATGTTGCGGTGCGTTAGTCAACGGTATAGGGAGGGCTTTTCGGCGGTGATGGTGGCGGCGACGCAGTACCAAAGCCTTCTATCATCGGAACCTTGCTGCTCGTTAGTGATTTTGTTGTTGCCGTCGACACACTTTCGAGAACCAAGATTCCGTCGCCGTCACAATCATCGTCGTGGCTGCTGCTATCACTGCTAACGCCGGCGTGCTCATCGTAGTGGCTGTTGCTCTGGTCAATATCTAGGCCGAGATCGCCGCCGTAGCGGCTGGTGCTCCCACTATCACGGGTTGCATGGATCCTGCCGCTGCTTGAACCCCCGGTGCACAGCCGGATGAGCTTTCGGTGAATTCGTTCCATCATCCTCTTTGCGTCCTTGTTCTCCCCGTTCTTCCCGTCGGGAATCTCGACCCTAGCCCCCGACATAAGAATATCTGCCCCCAGCTTGGTGTTGTACTTATCCTCACCGTAAAACCTCGCGTTCAGCCTGTCCCGGCTCTTGCAGATCCCGCCCTCGATGCTGACGCCGACAAAGAATCCCCCCAGGCCCCGGGACAGGCCCGTGTTAGAGGACAGTCCAGCACTCTGAAAGGTCTTGGGACTCGTGATGTAGGAAGCCCCCGGCCCGATCTGCTTGCTGAAGCAGGACCCGATCGACGCCCCGGCCCCGATTCCGAACATCAATCCGCCGTTGTCGGTACCGATGATCGAGTTCAGCGTGAAGTAGTCGTAGATCAGGTAGACAAGGGATCGAGCCGAGGCCCCAACAAGTACCCCGGCGCCGACTCCAGAAATCCCCACCGCGACGGGGGCGCTCCAGTTTCCCGTTACGATGTTGCGGGACATGACAATCCCGGTTCCGAAATAGCCCGAGACCAACGCCAGGCCGGCTTCCCAGACGGTAAAAAAGCCAATGCCGAGGAGATCCCGCTCGTCCTCATCGGAAAAGAGGCTTGCGTACGAGTTGTTCCGGTTGGCCGTGGTGTTATTGTTGTTGCTGCTGCTGATGTTGCTATGATCCCGGTTGTTCTTTGTGCCAGACTGGCAATTGTTGTTGTCGTCGTTGGCACTCGTCTCCGTCTCGTTCGTCGCCTGCGCATTTGTCGTCTCATTGTGCGGCTTTCCCAACGGGACGTCTCCTGTTTTCGTTTCGGAAAATTGATTGCTCTTGGAGTGGATCGGGCTTCTCGGAACACCGGTGACGCAGCTGCTGCTGAGAAAGGCTTCTGTGATTTCCGGATCGTTCATGACCCACCGGAGCGATTCGTTGGCCTGGCACACCATCGGAATTCGACCGCATAATTTGACCGCGTCGAACGGAAACGCATGCAGGAAATGTTTGTTGGTGTTCGTGCAAGAAGGAACCGAACCATCGCAATCCAAACACGGAATAGAATCAAGCAAAAAGACAACGCAGACACGGGCACGTGAGAGACGAACGATGCTTTCTTTTATGGACAACAAACAGAAAGGACAAGACAAGACAAGACAAGACAAGACAAGACGAGACGAGACGAGACAAGGCAAGGCAAGACAACGACCACATTGACAAGGGTGCACCAATATGCCTTGCTCATTTGCACTGCACCGATCTTACATCGTAGATCATGCCCGCCATCGTCAGCCTGCTTGGCCGCCGAGACCTTGTTTTCTTTTTTCCCGACCTGCGTCTCGCCATGATGTGTGTATTGTCTCCGTAGTGTGTGAGAGAGTTCGAGAATCGTGTGTGGTTCACGCTTTCACAAAAGGATCACCGAAACAGTACCCGCGAATGAACCCGGGAAGATAGACTGCCGAGTCGCTTTTTCTTCGTTTGTGTTGTTTCCCGGTGCATCCGGTCGTCGTTGCTGCTGTCGCGGTTCGAAACGCACAAAAACCAAAAACCAGTACCAGTACCAATACCTACTTTTTCTTGCTTCGTTATGGTTTCCGTGTACAGAATGATGGCACCGTACCTGGTACCGTACGAACCGTACCGTACGTAGCATGCGGAACGGATAATTTCCTACTGTACACGCCATGCATGCGTACGTCTTGCGCTACTTACCGTACGGCACCAGCTAGGTCTTGTACACCGTTCCGTGTGCCGTTGTTACTGATAGTGATGCATAATTTTTTGAAAAAAATCGTGTGACCCATCCCTGCCGGGTATCGTACGGTACGGTACAGGATTGACACGACAGCGACAGAGGGAATCTACGAGAACCATCGTTGAATCAGTCGTTCTGCTTTGCCCCAGTTCGACGAAAAACAAACCCCACTGGAACACACACGACGCACGGGAAAGATTAAGAACGAACGAAACTCTGCGTACGACTGAATATCGAATCGACTCATGCTCACTTACTTGGACCAGAGGCAACCGCGGCGCGGGCGGGCTCGTCCGAGTTTTGTTTTTAAGAGTAGAATTCTCAATTTTTCTTTTCTGCATATCAACTTAAGTACCGGTACTATTATCTAATAATAATATGTTGTATTGGCGACGATCAAGACTCAAGACAGATGCCCAGTAAGTCCCGTCCGGTACCGGCAGACTATTCTCTAACCTTCACGAATTCATTTATTTTTGAATTGGGATTTGATGGATTCGCCGCTTCTCATAACCTGTGAAATATTTGTAGGCTCCTTAGTGTCGTATGAATACGTGTTTACAATAAAGAGTGAGGTTATTCACTCACTAGCTACTCGTGATTGTGGTTTTAGTGTCTCTGTCTCACATTACGAAGTAAGTTACTAGTGATACTTATGGTGTTCTATCGTCTTACGACAAAAGTTTCTATTCGGCGCTGCTTCCGGTCGTAGTTGCCGATGCTTTCTGTTGCTCCGAGATGCGCTGGAGCTCGCTCACCGTCACGACCTTGAAGTTTCTCCGAACAACCAGGTCCTCCAATAAGAGTTCCAGAGCCGTCAGGCAGTATCCCCGGAAGCCCAGGGCTTCTGGCATGTGGAGGAGGGCGATCGATCCGTTCTTAATCTGCTTGCTCAGCGACGCCGCGATCCATGCACCGTCCTCGATGATGGGGCAGGCCGCGTAGGCATCGCACATAACGTTGTACATGTCGCGCTTGGCGAGCCCCTCCTCCATGACCTTGGTGTACCTGGACTGGGGCGCGCGGAACCACTTCACGCCGATGGGGATGGTGGCGTGGCTATTGTCAGTGCTAGTAAAGGCAAACTCGTCGTGGTTGCTGGCGTTTGCCTTTTGCTGCAGGTCCTTGATCTTGTCGTTGCATTCGTCCAGTGCTTCCAGGAACGCATCGACGGAAGTCGCCAGCGTTTTGTCCATTGGTTCGTCACGTATTCCGTGGTTGGCCAGCTCGTGGCCCTCCTGCAACAAGCGGATCATGTCGGGTTCATGAAATGGCGAGAGGAACGACGAGATCACCATAAAGGTCGCCTTGGCATCGTACTTGTCGAACAAATCAAGCACCTTGGGGAGCAAAGATAGCGATTTGTCGGCAAAGTTGAAACGGCCCGGGACGTCGTCAATGCTCAGCGCAACGTATCCGGCCGGTCCTTGCGCATTCTGTGATTCGGATTCTTCCGAGACGGTCTCGTGCTCCGTGCCCACGGTTGCAGCAGTATCGTTGTTCGCACCATTCGCAGCGGCAACAATTGAATCGTTGTTTGTCGAGTCGTCGCCCATCTTTTGATCCTCGGCGTCGACGATGTCACTGCTGTCAAAAATGACAATGTCCTCTTCTTCGAGGTAGTCGACAATATCCTCTTCTGTGGCTTCAGCGTTTGGCGACGACAAGGATGGCATCTTTCTGAATTTTTCCGAGAATTTCTTTTTCGTGTTCGATACGGTAGATCGGAAGCTGCTGTTCTCGAATTTCTCTTTGGTGTTGGACAACGACGAACGAAGACTGCGACGAATGTCATCGGTTTTAGTTGCAGAGGACACCTTCATTTTTGAGAGTCTTTCGTTCAGGCTCAATTTCGGGGCGGGTGGGTTGTCTCCGCCAACCGATAGTTCGTTGCTTTCTCCAGTGGCGGCAATGCTCTGTTTCTTCAGGGATGCCAAACTCACAGACGAAATTCGTGCAAGCTTGCCCTTCCATTTCGCCGAGGCGCGGCTTTGATCGCCGTTGGTGCCGTCAGACCCGTCCATGTCGAACCGGTAAATGGTCCTGGGAGAGTTTCGCAGCGGGAAACAAGCAAAGAACTGGACGGATTCTTTTCGAAAGAACATGTTGACGGATTGCTTGACCAGGAATTGTTGCTGGGATGATCGCCGAACGGGCACCACTGGGAGTGTTCCTCTTTCGATTTCGGTTTCGATGTCTTGCAGGGAGCAAGAAAATCCGTCCTTAGCACAGGCAGTAGCACTTACGGTGTCGGACGCGGCATCCACGGACAACGCGCCCGGTTTTTCAATCGACGTGCGTCGTTTCCACGCCGATGCTTCGGTTACGCTTTCTTCGTCTGGTCTCGTTTGTTCCTTTGCGGCAGCGTACAGCAGGATCGCCACGTCCGAGTTCGAGTGCCGGGGAGAAAACCGCAGGGGATTCCAATTGGCATCAAATACCCCGAAGGAAGACGTTTCCGCGGACATGATCTTTGCGGCGATGTTCGAGGAAAACTTATTCATACCGCGTTCGAGTTCCATCTGTAGTTTGGTCCCCTTTCCAAAAAGTCCTGGAGAAATGTGGTTCTCATCACCGATGCCGATTAGGTCGTCGTCACTCTCGTTCTCGTCGTTGTTTTTGAGGATGGGATCTTCAATCTTATTTTGTTCGCCGTCGTCGGTGCCTTCTTTCTGCTGCAAGCTTCGAAAGATCTCAAAGGCGCGAACGTCCAAAGCCGTCGCTTCTGTCCTCTCTCCTTCGCTTTCGCAGCTGGTGACATCAATTGGTTCCGTTGATTCGGCATCCACATTCGGACTCGAATCCGTTTCATTAGGAACGACGCAATCGCGTTCGACTCGGATCCAATCGATGTAGTCATTGCTTTTGTGCAACAAACCGTACGTTACGTAGGATGGGAATGAATCGCCTTTGGTTGCCATTGTGCGTGTTTTAAGTTTCAGAATTATCGACTGACTTTTGATGTGGTATCAAAACGAATTCTGCTCAAAGACCACCTTAACTATCTTACGGTATGAAACAAATAACAAATAATGCTCGATGGATTCCATTGCGGTCATTTTTGAAGATTTTCCTTCCGTCTAGTACTAATGGTGTGGTACATGTTTTACCTGATGGCATCGTGTATTTAGTTTTTGCTTCTCAGCGAGGCTCTCTCTCGAAGCTGGTAGGCCAGCCAGGCCGTCCCACCCACGATACCGTACGATCTACCTAGTCGTCCATTGTTTGAGGACTAGGCTAGTAACTGCAGTACAGGAAATAATAATCATGGAGTCACCTCTCTCGTACTGTACGGTATCATAAGCTCTGTTCATATGTTCTCAAAGTATGATGGGTATTAAGACGATACAATACGTAGAGCCAATGAGTAATTCCCGTTATTATAGAATCGTAAATGTGCTAAATCTAGGAGTTTGGCACTTCTGTAATAACGGGAATCAAAAAATCAACGGACAGACTGAGAGCAAGCCAGGCTTCATTTCAGTCTTTTTGGGAATCTGGAATCTTAACTATTCTCCAACRTAAAGACTCAAAAGACYMAAAACGCGCGCCACAATAATTTTGGTTCARAGTAAAACATGAAATTTTCGATAACAACTAGAGTAAGACATAAATTCATTCCTACTTATTTCCAGTAGAAAATAAGTTGAAATGAATTTATGCGTTACAGGGGAGTAACTCTGATAGTATCAGCTCCTACATCAATCCACTCACGCTCTACTGTACTCATTTTGTACTCATTACCACCAGTAGCGCATGAGCGGATTGATGTAGGCCGAGCCAGCAGCAAGAAACACACTAAWMGACAACAGTTTCCTCCCAGCAAAACAAAMGGCAACATCGACCGACAATGGGATTAATGGAAGTGATCACCATGTACTGGTACCTCCAKTTGCAGTCTGAGGAAGAGCATCGGAGCTACAAAAGCARACTGTCTCCAGAGGAGCGCCGAAAGAGGGACAGGAGAACTCCAAGGATTGCAATCAGGAGGTACKGKGCTTCCCCTTTCCTGTACATGTTCCACTCAGGGGATGACCAAGCATTGCTCAATTCCTGTGGCATGGACCACAAGGTCTACAGGGAGCTCGTTGACCTATTTGCTCCAGTATGGAACAAGTATACTGTCGACAGGTACACCAATGAAATTGTGGAGGTTCCTTGTTTCCCCAGTGGCAAGCCCAAAGGGAAGAAAAGGGAGGTTGATGCAGTCTGTGCCATTGGATTAGTGCTGTATTGGTACAGGACACGTGGATGTGTAGCAAGGTCAATGGCATTTGCCTTTKGGTTGACCTCGACAGTGATGTATAAGTGGCTCAAGTTTGCAAGGASAGTGATGCTTGTTGCTCTTCACAAACATCCAGCTGCCATGGTCAGTGTCCCAACTAAGCAAGAAGTGGATGCTTATGTTGAGGCAATTGGGGACAAGTATCCAAGGCTTGGGGAACAACGCGTCTGGGGAGCTGCTGATGGCCTGAAGCAAGTGATTGAAGCCTCCGGAGACTGGTTTAAACAAAGACCATTCTATAATGCGTGGAAGGAGAACACTTATGTCAACAGTGTATTTGCCTTTGCC